TGTTTGCCTCACCTGTCCCGTGGCGGCGTAGTCCTTCAGCGGGTGGATGCTGAGGCTCAGGATGTCATCGTCGTGGCCCAGGTAGAAGCGCTGGCTATGCAGCTGACGGTTGTAGACCACGCCCACCGCTGCTACGTGGTACAACACCTCCCCGCCCTGCGTGTAAAACAGGTTGTTCCTGCAGTCGTAGCCACGGTAACTGCACAGAGAAATCATTTTTTAGTATTGCACAGACACACACGTGTGATCATGCACATCTCTGGCTGATGCTGTTTGCAGTTCGACCTGATGGTGGCAGTGTTGTCTCTCTGTTACACCCACAGAAACGTGTCCGTGTGGTTTCTTATTTTAACGTCTCGTAGAGGATAAACGAGGATTATGCTCAGCGGTGTGTACGAGACTTTAACACAACACCGTTATAATAATAACTAATATCACTCAACCGCAGTAAAAACACGCCCCACTGTGACCTTTAATGACATAAAGCTCGCATGTTACAACGACCACAGGCCGGCTGAGTTACCCGTGAACAAACTGCAGTCGCAGGCCTTGGTCCGGTCCTTTCTGCCTCTTCAGAGATCCAACCTGCTGCTTCTTCTCTCTGCTCTGCTGTCGCAGCTGAGGCAGGTCCTCCTTATACACCTGCGCAGATAGCAAACACGCTCCGACGCTCACGTGGAGGTAATCCAGACAGGAAACAGACATTTACACTGAAAGGGTTCTTCCTCTGGAGAGCATGAACGCCCAACACTGCTGCTGCTGCTGCAGAGGATCAGAAGCTCAAAACACCTCAACGTACACATGCAATGAACAGATTTTAGATTCAGGGTGATTTTCACTTCTTATGAAGAGAATCGTATACAGCCATGCTGATTATCCCGAAACCTCATCTTTATTTACCAGGAACACCGGCGACGGATAAAAACATCGCGGCTGAAATCTGTTCAATCAAAGAGAGGCAGCAGGTGCAGATGAGACAAAGAATCAGAAGCTTCAAGGCTGCAGGAGCTGCGATGCTCAGGAACAACACGTGCAGCCTGCAGCTCACCTTCAGCACATTTACCAAACATTTCATTGGTTTTGCAGCTGATTGCAGGCGGATGGAGCTGCGAACGCCTTTTTCCTCAAACTCAGTCCGAGCTTCAGAGGAAGAAGAAATAACAAGTCTGCAAAGATAAGGAGCGATACCTGCCCACACGTCTCTGAGAGATGTGGGAGCGCCCTGTAAATAAGCACATCACTGAGCAGAGCGTTCAACCTGCGATGTGACAACTGCATGTGTTAGTGCTGCAAAGCTGCAGTCGGCGCTGTGTGTGGAGGCTTTGGAGGACAGGAAGTGGTAGATCTGCTGTCCACACGCTGGCCTGCTGAGCTGCAGGCTGCAGCGCCTCCACCCTCAGCACACAGACTGACCTGCTCTTTATGTGGCGAGGTCCAGTCGGCGTGTTCGAGACTTTCGCAGGGACCGGCGTTGCTCCCTGGAGGTTTGGGACTGGCAGCGCTCC